ATGAAAGCCCTTGTTCAGGCACTTCCTGTTATAGGGTGACAACGGTCTGTCCCTGTCTCCCAATTGTGCTCCTGCAGTGTCACCTTGTCATGCAGGTTTCTGATTGGACTGCAAGTGGGGGTTTCAACATGCACTACACAGCCATGGTCCTTTCTCATTACCTTCAGGAAAGCCACCTTATGAGATGGCATGTAGCCATCACTGGAGTGCATTTAGACAGGAAGTGGCAGCAATGATGCTGCAGGAGAACAGTAGCACTGAAGTACAACTAATACGTTGCAAAGGTTGAAAAGGCACTTACAGGAAGTAAGGTCCGGCCGCGCATTGCACACTTTGCTAAGGAATTTATTGTAGCACACAGGTTCACATCGTCCCACCATGGATCCTCTTGACTCTAACACTTTTCACCCAATAATGGGCTTAATTCTAAAGGTTGGAAAAGGGGATGACGTTTGTTTTTTTTCTTTAAAAAGGTGATTGTTTATGATACGTAGTGGTTTACAAAACCTATCTGTCTATTTATAACCAGTTCACAGAGGCATTTGCCCTATAAAATCTTCCTGAATATTCGTTCTGTGTGAATTGATGCAAAAACGCACGTTCTTAGATCCATTTTCTTATGAGTTGAATGTGTGTAATGTATTACTGCATTTGGCCACTAGATGGAGCAGAGGAGCATATGAAGTAAGTTTTTCCTCAGCTCCATCTAGTGGTCAAAATGAAGTATTGCATTACAAACATTGAACCCGAAAAGAAAATATACAATGGTACCTCGGTTCACGAACTTAATCCGTTCCACGATTCTGGTTGCAAACCGAATCAAACTGTAATCAGACCGCGATTCCGACTAGAGGAAGCCACGACCATGTGTCAGAGCAGGGAAGATGGCTGCGGTTGTGTTCGTCACCCGATGCAGAGTTCACAAACGGAAGCAAAATTTTGCCGAATTTCCTGTTTGCGAACCGAATTATTTGCAAACAAAAGCATTCGTGAACCGAGGTACCACTGTATTTAAGAACGTTTGTTTTTGTATCTAAGTGTAAGAGAAGATGTATTACTGCACTCCTTACTGGGTTTGATGACCTGCAATATGCAGGTGGGTGCTCGCAGTGATGATACCGTCTAGTTTTCAAAGGATGTCACCAGCCCACAATCATTTTTGTGTAATCAGCAAAAGTCCATTTATTGAAAATCAATTGCCATTCAAATGTTTTTGTGTCTATTCACAAAGAAAAAACATTCAGAAAGATTCATAAGGTGACTGGCACTGAGAATTGGCTATGAATAGACCCTTAGGGATTCTATTTATCTCCACCTAGTGTATGCCACATTACATACATTCAATCTGAAAAAAAAAAATATATATAAAAAAGAATACCTAAGAACATTTGTGTTTGCATCCTTTCACACTAAACTGACTTTCGGAAACATTTGTAGGGCAATGGCACTGCAAATAGGTTATAAACAGACTCCTTAATGTCATCCAGTAGTTGGCCCTTACATCTGCTTTAGCGTCTACATCTTATCCTCCCTGTGCCTGATCTCCTGCGGTTCAGAATGATATTCCTGTGTAAGTATTTGGATATGTGTAAGCCTACATTCTATTTTTGCTGACAAATGCACACATTGTATAAAAATCCGAGACATCTTAAGTGGCGGTTAGGAATGAATAATAAAGCCTGCCCTTTAAAACAAAAGCACGGGCAATTAGGTCTAATTTTCACCTGCCGGCTTGTCATTGCGCGGGCGCACGCTGCGCTGAACATTCGCCAGAAACGAATATTCCAGCAAACCATGCATCACACACTCCTATCATCATCTGAATAATATCCGCTTCAGGCGAGCCTATTTTACTTGTTATTTTTCTCCTCTGCAAAATGTAATACCGTGTTGTGTTGATTCCAACTGGCAGGAGCCTCGCTTGGTAACAAATGAGAGAGCAATTACTATGATTTGGAGTAATTACTTTTTGTGGAATTGGCACATTTTCTGTTGTTATGATACTGTGCACATTAGAGAAGTTGCTGTTTGTGTGTCATCTCTCTTTATTTCTCCATTTTATTTTTTTGTGCAGAAATATTTTGCTGAAACCCCCCCCCCCCCATAATGGATTCAAGCCCGCATTTATCTATTTTAGAAAGTAAGGGTTATCTAATGCGCTTGCATAAAGGTCCTCAGAGGTTGTTCAGTGACACAAGGATGCTCTCATGTCCTTACCCTTTGTTGACAGAAACGCCAGGTCCATTATTTGTTCCATATGTATATTACTGGGACATTGTTATCTGAATAATAATTCTTGCATTTACTTTTATTGTATTGGCATGATCTTCTTTTTAATAAAAGTCTCTGCTTATATTTGTATCAGATAGTCCTTAATGTGATAACCATCACACAATTTTCCCTGGAACATAATTCCACTTCAGGGCTGCTGTAAAACAATAGGAAGAATGCTTCCTTAAAGTGACACTAAACTCAGGAGTTCAATCTTAAAAATACATTCAAATACCATAACTATTAATAAATATGTCTCTTATTTGTGTATCACTCGGCTGTAGATCCTCCAAATCATCTCTGAATTGGTGCTGACACTGTCCTTCCTTCTGGAGGGGGGCTACTTTTGTTCCCAATGGTCCCTGTGTGTGTTGTAAAGTAGTCACCGCTCCAAGCTCGCTCCTGTGATGGACTACAATCTCATTACAAATGAGTAAACTAAACATGAGATTGTAGTACATCACGGGAGTGGGGTTGGAGTGGTGACTACTTTACAACACACACAGGGACCATAGGGAACGAAAGTAGCCACCCTCCAGAAGGAAGGACAGTGCCAGCACCAATTCAGAGATGATTTGAGGATCTACAGCCGAGTGATACACAAATAAGATACATGTTTGTTAATAATTAAGGTCCTTGAATGCATTTTTAAGCTTTAGCTTCTGAGTTTAGTGTTACTTTAAGTTTCCGGTGACCACGATTTCCAACCGTCGACTGCCGCAGCACCCGCCCTCATTATCTTTGGAACAGTGGTTTAGAGTGCGATGGGTTTATGGACTCTAGCCTGTTTGTAAAGTGGCCACTGCTCCATGCTCTTTCCCGGGATGGACTACAGTCTTATGTTTAGTTTACTAATTTTTATTGAGATTGTAGTCCATCACAGGAGTGAGCTTGGAGCGGTGACTACTTCACAACAGTGCTGACACTGTCCTTCCTTCTGGAGGGGAGCTACTTTTGTTCCCAATGGTCCCTGTGTGTGTTGTAAAGTAGTCACCGCTCCAAGCCCACCCCTGTGATGGACTACAATCTCATTACAAATGAGTAAACTAAACATGAGATTGTAGTCCATCACGGGAGCGAGCTTGGATTGGTGACTACTTTACAACACACACAGGGACCATGGGGAGTAAAAGTAGCCCCCCTCCAGAAGGAAGGACAGCGTCAGCACCAATTCAGAGATGATTTGAGGATCTGCAGCCGAGTGATACACAAATAAAATACATTTTTGTTACTAGTTAGGGTACTTGACTGTATATTTAAGATTATACTCTTGAAGTAAGTGCCACTGTAAGTACTATAATCAATGGGCTTCTTTCAGCACAGCGAAAAGGGATACAATGCTTCCCATGTGACAAGGAGACTAAGCAAGCATGTGACAAGGAAAAAGCAAGCAACATGTTTTAAAACATTTACAGGGCATTTACAGGACAACAAAGCTGATTTGGAAAAATTTTCCACTTCAGCTATATTGTCCTAGATTGTTCACTTCTCCTGCCTTCTCCAAACTCTTCACCCTTTTTGAATAGACGCCTTACTTTTTTACAGCACTATACATCCCATTTAAATCTATTAATGTAAGCCATAATAAGGTAGGCTGTATTAGAGTGAAGAAGATTATCTGTCTCGCCCACATCAGCCAATCAAATTCTCCTTTTCATCTCTGCACTATGAGAACAAGAATAAGAACCCAGCTGGTCTCTATTAACATTAAATATTGGTTGAGGCAGTTCTTAACTTAAACTCTGGTAATCATAGCTCAGAATTGCAATCCCAACAGGCTGCAGTTGAGAGATATACCTTTTGTATATTAAGAATTTTGTCTCTTTTAGGCTTTTGCTAGTCGGAGGCAGCGAGACAAATGAAGATGGAGTGTCTGTATCAACGCAACGTGGGCTGACAGCCTGGAGGGTGCTCTCCGGCTCCCCCCACTACAAACAGGTCACTAATTATGAGGACGACGTGGGCACGGTAAGTCATCGGAAAATCCTTGTGAGCATTTTACTGTTCATTTTCAACACTTAATTATTTATCAGAGCATCTTTAATGTCCTTATTTAAATTTTCAGCAGTTTAACATGTTTACAGTAAATTAAAAAATCATCAGTTGCAATATGTAGATAACCACAGGCGCTGATCTAGTATTCCAAGCCGGTAACTGGCATTTTTACAGCTTTTTTTTTTTGTTGTTCTTTTTTTTTTTTTTAAACGGTCAAAAGGGTCAGTAAACCACCCACTGTCAAGAGTATTTTTTTTTTTTTACATTTTATTCTGTTTTTTCTTTTTTTCGATTTTATATAATCATAAAGGGAATTTGTTTTACTGAAAATTGTGAACATCTGCTCATTACCCCTTCGTGTTTTAAGACTTGGCTCTCGGGTTTTAGCAGAATCAGATCTAATTACCCACCGTACCAGTAGCTTCACTTACAGAGGAGATCTGGCATCCTTAAAGTGATTATACATATACAGTCACCGGCCACTTTATTAGGTACACCTTGCTAGTACCAGGTTGGACCCCCTTTTTGCCTTCAGAACTGCCTTAATACTTCCTGGCATAGATTCAACAAGGTGTTGGAAACATTCCTCAGAGATTTGGTCCATATTGACAGTTCCTGCTCTTGGACAGTTCTTCGTTGACAGGAGTGGCAACCGGTGTGGTCTTCTGCTGCTTCAGCCCATCTGATTCAAGGTTCAACGTGTTGTGCATCACTCCACACCATTATTCCACCACCACCAGCCTGAACCGTTGATACAAGGCAGGATGGATCCATGCTTACATGTTATTTACGTCAATTTCTGACCCGACCATCCGAATGTCGCAGCTGAAATGGAGACTCATCAGACCAGGCAACGTTTTCCCAATCTTCTATTGTATTGTCCAATTTTGGTGAGCCTGTGCGAACTGTAGCCTCCGTTTCCTGTTCTTAGCTGAGGGGAGTGGCACCCAGTGTGGTCTTCTGCTCCTAGTTTCAACGTGTTGTGCGTTCAGAGATAGTATTCTGCATACCTTGGATGTAACAAGTGGTTATTTGAGCTATTGTTGCCTTGAACCAGTCTGCCATTCTCCTCTGACCTCTGACATCAACAAGGCACTCTCATCCACACAACTGCTGCTCACTGGATATTTTCTCTTTTTCGGACCATGCTCTGTAAACCTGAGAGATGGTTGTGCGTGAAAATCCCACTAGATGAGCAGTTGCTGAAATAGACCAGCCCGTCTGGCACCAACAACCATGCCACTTTCAAAGTCAAAATATTGAAATGCAGTAATCAAAAGCAAATTAAGACAAATAGACACACGATCATTTCCAGGATAATACATGCAGCAGATCAGCAGATCATTGAGTACATGGGATTTTTTTTTCTGGTTAGATGAGAGTTGTGGTTAGTTGAATACCGGATAATATAGTTTACTGTATTATGTGTGTACGAGTGTGAACACATGCGTATGTACATGAATGGAGTCTACGCAATCAGTCCCCCGAAGCCGCTTCACTTCACTACAGCCAAAACCTTTTTCATTATGGATGGAGTAGGGAATGGTTAAACCACAGTCATGTTTTTTCTGCCATCTATATCCTATCAGTGAAATTTCCCACCACTTGCTGTCCAGTAAAGACATTAGTAAGTGAGATAAAATTTCTCCAAATGGATGAAAATCCCCTTTTACATGGTGTCACCCAGGACATTTAGTCGCTTGAGGCGGGTTTGGGGGTGTGGGTGCTGGCGATGCATGTTCCAGTGGGGGGGTGCACGCTAATGAGGGGTTGATGGCCTCTGCATCATCCAGCTGATGTCACTGGTTGCCAGCAGCTGGGCAGGACGCTGGCCATGGTGTCACAGGTTGCTAGGAGCTGGGTGGGGAGAAGTATATGGCCCTTACACATCTCCCCGCCAGGCTCTTGGGACACTCTGGCCAGAAAGGCGGCGGCAGACACACTGCAAATATTATGCAGCAGAGCGGCCATTCCACTCTGCCTGCCGCCCTCCCCCCCCCCAACTTGACCTTAAGAGATGCCGCTGAAGCTACAACCTTAGGCTGCCTTAGAATGGGGACAGCCCTGTTGTCACCAAAACAAATGTCCCCATTGGAAAATTTGCTCTCCATCACTGTTCTGGGGACAGCTGAATATGTTGGGCTTTCCCCGAATTTAATTCACGGTGACGGTGGTCACCATTACCAACCCAGGAAGTGAAATGCACACCTCGCGGGTTCTTATCCTTCGCCAATCTATCAAAAAAATATAAACTTTTTTTGGCTTTAGACACATTTTCAATCACATTTATTCATTGAGGTTTACACTGCTGACTCTCCAGAGATTTGACATTTGCAATTGTACATATTACCCGACAATTACATAAAAATCAACTTCTAAGTCTCTTTCTTATTATTTCTATCAATTTAATTAAAAGCATTGAAAAGATAAACACAAGCTTTTTTTTTTTCATACCAAGGCCCATGTGGTCCCCTATGTTTCCCGCCTTGCACAGTAGTTCTAAATTAATTTCCAGATTGCCTGAAGGGGCTTAAAGTGTGTCCTGGGAAATGTAATGACTTGAGTGGTTTTATTTATCCCCCTTCCTCCTTTTCTGATCTCTTCTCTCATTCTGGGAGTTTTCTTCCTGCGGAAATGAAGATTTTTTTTTTTTTGTCTGTAATTCAGGTTGTTGGTGTAACGCATGGCTTGATCTCATTTTCTAGGCGCTGAAGAGAAAAGGATTCTGGAGGATTATTAAGGCACGATTATCTAGCAGACACGGAACTGAACAGGTAAGTAGAGGGATTACCGTCATTAATTTAGTTCCAGCAAGTAGAGCTCAGTGGTGATTGAGAGTCACTGGTGCGGAGAGGCAAAAGAAATCGGACCGGAGTGCTTACTTTTATTCCTGCAATCTGCCGCAGCTTTTGTGTTTATTTAACGTAATTAAAAAAAACATGTAAAGGAGAATTCCAGATAAAAATAGGTTTATTCACAGCTAAAACTTTAGTCTTTAATAATAATAATAATGAATTATTAAGTAACTGGCTACTGACCTGTGCTTTTTTTTTTTTTTATGCACCATTTATTAGGTTAGTTCATATTTATCATAAAATCCATTCCACGATCCCCAGTACATAAAAAAAAAAACACTGGACAGTCTTTTAAAAAGAAACTTCTTTGCATTGGAACTTTGCAATGGAAGGTTAACTGTAGGACATGTGCTGCGCTCTCTCTCCTTCTGTCAGACAACACTGAGCTCAATCACTGGTGCGACAGAGGGGAGGGTAAGCGGAGTGCGCGGTTTGAAACATTTCTGTGCTTATTCCTGTGATGCTAGGGGCACTCATCTACGTCTGGAACGTCATGCCATCTAGGGCAATATTTGGGGGGTTTGCCTACCTAGGAGTTGTAATGACAGGCTTGGGAGTGGCTGCACATGGTCTACAGGTATACCATTGCAAAGAAGCAATCACAAACGGTACAGCGTTTTTGTTTATGGGCGTTTAATGCTAGAGCGTTGCGCTAATAATATCATGGTATATGTGCACTTCGCACACTTAATCGCACATCACAATGCATCGCACGCTGGGCCAGCTTGTGTGTTGTCATTCTTCTTGCATGGCACCCAAACGCACCTCCTGGCAGGCGGTACGTCAATAACCTGCGCCATTTTTATTCACTGCATGGAATTGTTGGAGGAGGTGCATTTGGGTTGCCATTCAGAATGAACGTCAATGCAATGCACTCTATCACACATCACACTCTATCACACATCACAATGCAAAGTGCATTGTGATGTGTGATAGAGTGCGCTAAACAAACGGATACTGTGCCTCTAGCGTAATGCTATAGTGAACTGGCCCTAATGTTCTTTTGACAGCGGAATGCATGGCACATTTAGCACTTTTGCCTTGCAGCACTGGGGTTCCCCGGTTCAAATTCCGGTCAGGATACGATCTGCAAGAAGTTTGTATGTCCTCCCTGTGCTTGTGTGGGTTTCCTCCGGGTACTCTGGGGTCCTCCCACACTTCAAAGACATCCTGGAAGGTTAATTAGCTCCTGTCTAAATTACAGATGACAGCTAGAAGTAAACTACTATTAGAAGTGATCTGTTGCTGCAGAGCTGCATGGTGGGCTGAATTAGGTCTCCAATGACCCGATCCAGTCCACCCTTGAAGAAAAACATGTGAAAAAAGTAAATGAATACATTTAGTTAATACATTGTATCCTTTGTGTTGTGGTGTCCTGCCGTGTGGGTGTGTTGCCCCCTTCTATAACTATATACTATAACAGTGGGCTGAGGTGTCATTCTAAATGAATAGCACTACAACGCACACACAGCGATACGTTAATGTGCAGTATGGTATGTTTTACTGCTCATGGACTCAACACAAATTTATGAAAATTATTGTGAGGCCCTCTGGACATGTGGGGGGCTGCACGTGACCCCCCCATATATGCAATACGTTTACCACTACTGCGCTAGATTCTCTGTTGTGATCTTTGATGATCTTTGAGAATGAATACCATCACCTTACAAGCAGCTTGAGAGGTCAGGGCTCTTTTTCTGCTTGCTAAGACTTTGTAAATAGAGATAGTCCATAATCTGGGAACAGGTGCACTTTAAATAAGCTTGTTAGTACATCACATCAATGAATATTGCTTTTATAAGCATCATACAAGTCACCTATTTTGTTTCTGTCGTGGTCTGCGGGCCCCTCCATTTTTTTCCTGGTAATGATTGCTTATAGCAAAAGGATAAAGAGACTTCATTTCCCAAGAAATCTTAAATTGTTTTGTCTTATGAGGTGTTGAATGCAGTGGTACCCTCAGTCCCGCTCCAGGGCCTTTGTTATTCAATTACATGTACATCTGAGTCTAGTAGCCTGATCTGCAGACTCTAGGGAGTCCCTCAAACAGATGGCCATCTTGGTTTCTGGCCAGGACAGGCTGCACTTTCACATTTAGCTGTGACCGAGCTTGTGTAAAAATTGTCACATCAAATAAATATATCTGAGGTTACTGAGAATGACGTGTTTGTACATCCGGCACCAAATTGTGTGGAAGCTGGCTATTTGAACAGCTGTTCAACAGACTGTCCAATCAAATGCCCCATAGATTCTCTATGGGGTTCAGGTCAGGCGAGTTTGCTGGCCAATCAAGCACAGTAATCCCACAGTCATTGAACCAGGTTTTGGTGCTTTTGGCAGTGTGGGCAGGTGCCGAGTCCTGCTGGAAAATTAATTCAGTGAGTATATTTTAGCTCCCTAGGCAAAACAAGCACTTAACCCTTGCAGTGTGGGGTAGCCCTACTGCAAGGCTAAGATTTTATTTGCCCAGTTTTTCTTCAAAAGCAATCTGGTTTTGTACATATGAGGTTTTGTACATATGTTCTTTAATAATTTTTACCAGGACTAAAGGATTTGCTTTCTTGGTTAGATATGAAATATATATACGGTTCGGGGGAGTATGACTGACTTTTTCTTTCTTTTTTTTTAGCTCCCTAGGCAAAACGAGCAATTATTGATTTACTAAAGAGTTTTATGTAGAACACCGGTCATATCAAATCTTCACCCTTGCAGCGGGGCTAGACCACACTGCAAGGGTTAAAAGAGAACTACAGAGTAAGTGTTTTTCCCCATAGTTCTCCTAAGGGCCATGGGAGGACATATACTAACCTCCACCCGTCACCCAAAGCTCAGTATATCGTGAGCTACAGCTCACGGTATACTGAGACCGCTGCACCCGGGACGGATCCCGACATTACTGTCGAGATCCACCCAGCTGCGTGAGTTACAGCTGGCTCTGCCTATCTAGAGGCAGAGCCAGCTGTACCCACCCCATCCATTACTCCAGTCACGGCTGGAGGATCGGAGAGACGAGGTGAGGTGGGGATCCTTGCGGGGAGCGGTGACTGACAGTCACGGCTCTCTGCAGGGAGATGATTGAGAAGTGAGCGAGTGACGGTATGTGTTCGCTCACTTCCCGATCTATAGAGCCGACGTGTGACAGTTTCATTGACACACGTCGGCTCGAACTATGAGGATGAGTGATTTTCACTCACCTCATATGTTCTCCTTTAACCCTTGTAGTGCAGAGGTAGACCCACTTTAAGCATGATCTGTGCTACATAAGCTTCTTCATAGTGCAACCTCATAGTTCGCCTTTAAGATTTGATTTGCCCGGTGTTCTACTTTAAACTCTTTTAGTAAATCAATCAATGTATTTTAACGAGTTGACATCCGCGGTGTTAACCCCTTCATGACTGAGGCCCTTTTTTCAATTTTTGCACCCATGTTATATTCCACATTTTAGGCCTGAAAATGACATTTTTTTCAACGGGCGGACGGCAAGTGGTTAAAAGCCACTAGTTCAAGTACCTAAATCTATCTTGGTATTGGCTTCTTGCTGTTCTCGTCTCCTGTACTGAAGACTGGCAGAGGGATGGCTAGCATTGGGAGCCAGTGAGGTTTGCTGCATGCAGTGCTGCTGACAGGGGAAGAGAACAGAGTGAGTAGAAAGATGACCTCATCTGTCCGCTGCTCTTTTAATATCCAATCAGCTTGCTGGGTGTGGGTTGGTATCAGCACTGTATTTCTAAATTTTTAAAAGAGACAGTGGTGTTATCCTCCTGGCTGTGCTGTGTAAATCTTAGAGGCTTAATACATAGAAATGCAAATAATGTTTTCAGTTATAATAGCTACTTGATATGTATTGCATCTGTGTATGTAGACATTTGCCTGGAGCTCGGCATTAAATAGAAGGTGTCAGTTTAAAATTGGGGCATAGTGCTCAGATGCAGCCTGATCTCTTTTTGAGTGCAGGACTGCCTTGGTAGGGAGTGTTCAAGTCTGGTCTTGCTGTATTAGGGCCTGTTCACACGACGTCCACTTTCTGACCTGACCTGATCCGTACGCTTCTGCACTAAAAATGCATCCCAATGTATCCCTATGTGTTTTATGGGCTACAGTTCTCACGTGCGCAGTCCGTTCAGGTTACGACAGAAAAAATACTGCATGTCACATTTTGTCCGGTCAGGAAACGGACCGGAAATGCAAAACGCGTCAAAAACGCACTGCAGCTAACATACTGACAGCCCCACTCCAGCAAAATTTTTTTTTTTTAAACTGGAACGCATCAAAAACGCACTGCATCAGTAGCACCGCATCTGTAGATCTGCACCTGATCAGGATCTGATATCATGTGAACAGGCCCTTAAGATGCTTCTCATCATGCAGAGAGTCAGTGGTATAAAGGTAAGAGCACGGTTATGTACTGTCCTATTGATGCATTCAGCTTGTCTGCTACACAAACAGCATACAGCCAGATGTTGCTGAAATCAGCCCCTTGTGCTATATTTAAGTACAGATCTCACTATGACGCAGTATGTATTTCATAGGTTACAATAAACAGGTTTTAGTTGGGTAGTAAACATAATGACGTGAAGGAGAAGTGTAGGGGATGAAGACATTGTAATTGGCTCTTGCAGCGATGTAGGTTTTAGTTTTTGGGAATTTCAGAAGTAACGCTCTTGTTCTGCTTATTGTTTTTGGTTGTTCTCATGGTAACAGAGCAAGGATCATTTGTGTGACTGATTTTGTGACAAGCTGAACTGTCATTATGTTCAGAACATACCAATTATGTTAAAAGACCAAGAATCCAGGAATGTGCGCCATTCTTTGTCTCGAAGTTATATAGTGTGAGCCAAAATTCTAAATGATTCAAGGATGCCTCTGTGATCTGGAATCTGGTCCAAAGGGACAATGCATTGAACTGATCACCCCAGCTT